GGGGGGGGTTCAATAGAACAAATATACCAGTTTTATCATATTGTTTCATTCTGGTGATTACAGCGGCTTGTTATAACACAGAAATCATACGAGTTCCATCTCCATACAGGGAGTATTGTTCAAATTAAAACTAAGGTTTGGTTATAATCTCTGCTTTGCTCCATCAGTTTCTGCGTTATAACTTAACGGTTCTTTACGATATCTGTTCTTGATATCTTAAATTAAATGTAAATAAAGAATACATTTAGACACATTTCTTAGAAACCTGTTTATTTTTCTCTCAAGGCAATAAACATGATTAAAAACATTTTAAGAAATTCGATGCTACAGCTGACATCAAACCGTGCTATCAAAGGCATACTTACTAAAAGAAATTACAAAGAAAACTGTCTTTAAAATATTTCTTTTAATCCTCCGTATTTTTTGTATTAAGTCGAACACTTTAATACGAATTCCATACTTTTCAAATGCAAAACGTAAGAATGTTCAGAGGAGTAACAATACGTAGTTGAAATTTGAAGTTTCTCACAAAACGTTATACAGGGGTATAAAAACTGACTTTTCTACTTCAAATAACGTAAGAATTCTCGTGGCTGGCGAGTTTCCAAATTGAATGTCTCCAACGAGAATTGCCCTGGTGACTAGGGCACTGGGTTCGAATCCCTTCACCTAACATGCTCGCCCTATCACATGTGGGGACGCTATAATGTGATGGTCAATCCTACTTTTCCTTGATAAAAAAGTAGCCCAAGATTTGGCAGTGGTTGGTGTTGACTATCTGCCTTCTCTGTGGTCTATATTTTTTTAATTAGGAACAGCTAGAGCAGATAGCCCTCCAGTAGCCTTGGAATAATTAAACAACAACCATAAGTTAATATGAAACATTTACTAACATTAATTTATTTAAAAACACCGCAGATAGCCCTCCAGTAGCCTTGGAATAATTAAACAACAACCATAAGTTGATATGAAACATTTACTAACATTAATTTATTTAAAAACACCGCAGATAGCCCTCCAGTAGCCTTGGAATAATTAAACAACAACCATAAGTTGATATGAAACATTTACTAGCATTAATTTATTTAAAAACACCGTAATAATAGGTAAGCCAATTTGCGAACGACGTTTATTTTTCCAGCAGGTAGCGTAGGTATATTAGATTTCTAATTGAGATGCTATATTTCTAGATGATTTACTCTGATCACCCCCCCCCCATCCTGCCTATTGTTTGGAGAGTCGCTAAAAACTTGAGACTTTGCTTTGTTTACATTAACATGATTGTTTACATGAACACCATTGTTTACATTATACATTTTTACCTATACATTGTTGTTTACTTTAACGTTATTATTACATTCAGTGTAAACAATTTACGTGATTGGATGCCTAAACCGTTACATTACAGTTATTATTCGTGTGTATTGGAAAGTTTGTGTCCTGTACTCTCACATTCCGTCAAGGCTTCATCACATGCTTAAAGAAAAAACTTTCAAAAAAGACTTCGCCAATGCAAATGTAAATATAAGATTGATTAACCAATAAAATGTAATTGAAACTTGTATTTACTTACATGATTCTTGGTCAGTGTTTTTGGTCAGTTTAGGATAACCGCAATCCTTGTTATCCACGTTCACTTGTATTCCGGGCATGACAGGACGATTAGGGCTAGCCTTTCCATATTTGGAATCAATCAAAATGTAAGACTTGTAACGATTGGTAGCCTTCCTGATGACATCACATTCTTCAGCATTAGAGGACAAATAAAAATTGTTTGGGTCAAGGGTTAACACAGTTAACGATTTTTTCCATTCTCGGGGCAGTGGCCAAGGTGATCCTGGTGGCGATCTTTCTCCCTATAAAAATATGCAAGGTTCAGAATTACAATTACTACAGTTTGAGTAAAGATAATTATGGTTTTCTCACATTATGGTATACAAGATTGAGCACGTTATATTAAATATATTTTGGAGCCTAGCAACGTCGTTACAGTCAATAACGCCACGTTCGATCATGATCTGTCTGACGGTTGTGCATTCTGTCAATATTTCTGCAGCGTATTTTTTAATTGCTTAAACCTCCATCAAAAGTTTGTCATGTCAAATATTCTTATTGTAATTTGGCTCTGGTCGTTTTCTTCTGCAATTTGTTGCATTATCAATACTTGCCAATACACTTTTTGGTTGCTTTTCTTGTAAAAAATGCCTGTTGACGTTATTAATAATTAACGACGTTTTCAGCGATTTGCATATCCTATAACAAGTCATCATTATTGTTTTGATTTATTTTTATATAAGATTTTCACTTCCCTCCCAGTGGCTTGTTTGTTACGGATTTCGCGCAAAGCTACACGAGGGCT